GCCCGGTATGCAGGTTTGCCGCTATTCAGTGTCTCGGTTCTTCTAGGATCATGAACCTCATGCGCTCCTCACCAAATGTGTATGGTGAGTCTGTACTGCAGTGCCTTTTCCTTTAGTCTGAAGAGCCTTGGATTTGACATGTCCTTCTGCTCCCTGTCCCCAAACAGCTTGACAAGTGGTCAGTGGTCTGTCACTAACAGGAGGTTGGGGCATGGGTGTATGGTGGGTCTCCCTCATACAGCAGGCATTCAATTTCTGGTAGCTTACTGTGTGCTGGGGTTGGCCGTGATTACCATCCTGGTGCACTACTCCATGGCCTCCCCAGTGGGCACCTGACGTCCTCATCGAGTTGGTGTTTCACCTCGGCTTCCCAGTGCTTTGGCACTGCCGTGGGTGTGTGGCACTCATGGGGACACACATTAGGAGAAAGGTAGATGCGGTGTGGGGCACCAACCATCACTAGGAGCGGCGACCATGTGGTGTTGGATGCAGAGAAGTGCCACCGTAGCCACTCTTCTAGTCTGGCAACATTCTCTTCCAGTGGGGGAACGGGCACACTTGATGGCCAGGGTGGCAGCACCACATCCCCTGAGAAGAGCACCTCGATAGGAACTCCCACCAGGGCCACACTGGACAGGTGGAAGGGACCAGACCCAGCCCCTTGCAGGTAGCCAGTGATAAGAAGACATTCCCGGCCGACTGCACAAAAAACCACTTTCTGTAGGGTGGACCTCCCGTCTAAGTCAGTGCGACATTCATGGCTGCCCAGGCACTTGACATGAAGATTTGCCATGTCCCAGATGCCACTGTGGTTCTTAGTCCAGCCACACGGCAAGCAGGTTGAGAGCTCGGAGCAGGGCAGAGCCCACAACACACCTGGGCCCGTGTCAATCACGGCCAGAGATGAGCAGCCGCTCGGTCAACCTGTGGCAGTTATCAACACCAGCAGCGAGGGGTGTGGGGGCACCCGCACCCCTGCCACAGAGGCTACTCCAGAGACACCTGATGCTGCTGAGGTGGGAGGGGCAGTGCTGCCCTCCCCCCCCCTCTGTCTGCTCCTACAACACCTCTTCATGTGTCCAACCTTTAAACAGTGATGACCGGTGATGTCCTTGGCGAGGCATGTCTCTCTTGTGCCACAGTTATCACAGGGATGAGCAGCGGTGGATGGAGACAGGCATTCTTCAGTGGTGCTGGAAGACACACTGGCTGCTTGTACGTCTGGCCTACACACTTCTCTGCCGGTGGCATCGCTGGGTCGACCCCACGTAAACACCAGCGTCCCTGGCAGCTGCTTCATACAAAAGAAACTTCTTATGCAAGCAGTCAACATTTGTATACTCATCCTGAAACCGTTCCTTTTTCAGAGCATGGTTGCACAGCCCCACCATGAATTTTCTAGCAGTCTTGTATAGTAGACCCTTGCCATTCATGGGTTTGCGATTCATGATTTTGACGATTCGCGGTAAGCAGATAGTGGCTAGCTTGTGAGACTTTTTCTGCAGCACAACGAGTTATCCCATGCAGCATCTCGTGTTGTATTCTCAAAACTTCAGTGTTTGTGTGAAATGGACCTTAAAAGACTGCCTAATGCCAGTGCTAGTGATGCTAATGGAGTGAAATGTTAAAGGCAGAAGTCAATGATGACCTTGACAAAGAAAATTTAATTATTAGATAAGTTAAAAGAGGGGATGAGTGCTGCTGTGGCTGTTTGGTATAGGTACACAGTAGAGCACTATGGTAGTATAAGTTGCTATTTGCAGTTTTGTCCATTCATGCCATTCCTTGGAACCAAACCCCCACGAGTAACAAGGGTTTACTGTACTCGGAAAGATCATACCATGACATTCAGGGCACGCAAATCCACAGTCCATTGCCAGCTGTGAGCACCTCTGGAAGAAAGCATTCATTGTCTCACCTGGGGTCTGTGCATCCCTCAAAAGCACACTCCAGATGATTGCCAGGCTGCCCACCGAGTCCAGAGGTTTTGCCACTGACAAACGGTATACCTGGCGTCCAGAGCACACACTAACTCCGGAGTGCAGTGTAGGCGATTTGTTGGACTGCTACCCCATCCGACCATTCACTGAGAGCCAGCCAGCTTTTCATCAACCTTCTCCAAGAATGGAAGGCTGCTGAAAACATCTCTGCCCCACATTTGTCTGGTGCAGCTGATGCAGACACCCTGTAACCCCTGGCAGGGGTGCCTCCACCTGTGTTGACAGACCAGGTGGCTATCTGGAACTGCAGGGCTGTGATGACTGTCTACTGAGCTTGGAGGGTCTGTTGGGCAGCCATGTCCTAGTGTGAGTGGCATCAGACAAAGCTTGTCGACAACCTGAAGAGGGACTTGCCGGCGGTCTTCCTGGTGGGTCTCTTTGAAGTCATATCGTCTTAGCTTGGCTCCTGCAAGGTCCTTGACTGTCACTACGCCATGTTAGGTCTTGAAGAAAACACGGCAGGGGTTTCTGTGGTTTAATGAGGCTAGAAAATATATAAGTACAAAGTCAGTCAGGCCTCAGCTGCCCGCGACAGCCATAGCTGTGAGCAGCGGTGCCTGTCCCAACCACTCAAGATGTCATACGGCTCGATATCCTATGCTTACTGGTGTGGCTTAATTCAGATCATGCAGTTACCTTAACTTATGGTAATTTTGAGAGAATTCCCCAATTGAATTTTTGTGAGAAATGGATTATCAGATTCCTGAGGTGTTTTTACCCTAGAAATAACCTTCCATCCTTTTGGCAGAATAACACTAATAAAAGTGCCCTGGCTCTTGGACCATTATCATGCTTTTCATGATCTTGTACGTATTTTCTTGTTAATCTAAACCTATCCATATCTGTTGAGGTAATGTTTATTTATTTTCCTCCTTACTTCCTACAGTTACAGCAGTATAAGTTACCAAGATTTAGTCTTAAGTTGCATTATCGTAGGCTGGTTGAAACTGTGTCTCCGTGAGTCAGACAAGAGGGAGAGTATTCATAAAGCCAACTGATGCAGCTAAAATCAGGGATGTCTGTTTTTCTCTAACTGCCAGACCTGATTACAATACTATGGAACTTAGGTATCTAAAAATTTTCAGACACTATTGTTAAACTTAGTGCCAGTAAGTGTGTAGGTACAGTACTCTGTATCTGCTAAATTACATTCTTGGGGAACATTCTACTTGCCTCATATGTTGTGGATGCTGGATTGATCCTTTATGAGCATAAATGGGATACCTGCCTACCCTCTTATTGTATATTGAACCAAATCCAGTATGACCTTTAAAATAAGGTCAAGGTCACTAAAGTCGAATAAAGTCTTCAGAAGGTATCACGGTGTCTACATATGAAATCCATTCTGGCATTGTTTAATATTTCTTCACTTATTCCACTGACACAATGTGGCAGATGGATGACTAGTGGGCATAACACTAATATACCTTCCCTGAGAGGGAGGGACATATTTTATTATGTTTAGAAAGTTTCATATATTACTGGTACAGTAATTGTTACTTTAGTGATTTTTTTTACAATACTGTACCAGTAGGAAGTTTGCTAATGGTAGAAATAAGTATAACATGAATACTAATTTCCCATTACATACAGTACACTACAGTAATACTGTACAGTATTCCATGACCTGCAAATGTGTGATTCATTGAATCCATATCCTTTATCTTCATAAGTTATTGGCTATATCAAATACTGTATATAATGCACACATACATACAAAGAAAGTATCTTTGAACTGCCCATGGAAACACAGATGTGGAAGGAGGAGACAAGTTATCCTTACCTTTTAATAAGTTCTGTCCATCAATCATTGCAGTATCAGTTTTCAAAGTATCTTGATATATTTTTTCCTTTCATAGATTTTTTCCTGCTTCCCTTGTCCACTTCTCTCACTTAAATGGACTTTCTAAGACAGTCAATATTTTCATCACACATTCCTAACTTCAGTACTCCACCCCTAAGACACACTAACCAACATGAAGGAATCTTTCACAATACTTGGCATTGTTGATTCTTGATTACAGTACTCGGAGGCAAGGGAAGGATGCTACTGAAGGTGTCACTTTGCTTATGTGGGAAAAATCTTGCTGGATAATGATTTCACATTTTTATTTGATATTACTCTTACTCCAAAATTTACTCCTTTTCAAGCAAATGAAATAATGCAGGGGATTTCTTGTACAAGTTACAGTATTTTTCTTGTTGTAATCGATTGTATTGGGCCCAATCTGCCAACATTTGGTGCCGTCATTACCATAACCATAAGTTCCATTTATCAGATTCAGGTTTCATTTCCCCATCTCCAGTCAGTCCTTTAGTCACCTATCATGAAATACAGAGAATATTAAGGGTATATTATCTAAGCCAAATATTCAAATATGGTAACTAATTTTTATTTTAGATGTCCATCATTGATATTTTTTATTACATGTTTATATCACTTGTTTATCAGATATACTTCTTGCACTCTTCTGGAAAGTGTCTTGAGTTTTCTGAACTGTTCCTGTAGTTGCACCTAACTTTAAGGATTTAGCATCTGTACTGTGTATATATTTTGAATTTTACTACTGTACGTTAAGCATAAGCTGCCTATTGAATAGAAACTTGTGGAATTTATATTTTATAGTACAAGTAATTTTACAGCCACTGATGACAAGGAAGATGAAAAAGTTGAAGGATTGTTTTTGACAATGTATGGAGGCTTCTGTACTGTACTGTATTTCTCAAAAGTAATTATAGTATATAGAGTAGTACTCTACAGTATTGTTCTACATTTACTGATTATGCATTGAGCCAACAAACACAAAAATAATGTATTTCTGTATTTCAGTTATTACAAAGCTATAGAAAATGATTCAATTACTGTAATTTACTTGATAATTTGTAATCTGGTATGATAGTAACTTTTAGAAAACCTGCCTGTTGGTAAGTACACATAGTGAATGCTTTGCTGGTGTTGAAGTTAATCTTTATAGCACTGACATAACCAACATATTACAGGTTCTGAGGCCAGACACTGGACGTCAGGTGAAAATCGTCTGCCTAGACACACGTGGACATCACTGTGTGCACAACCAAGAATGGAGGTTTTGCGTGCTTGGTTTGGGCGTGCTGGAGTGGGTGCCTGGCGATCAAGAAGACAAGTGGTGTGGGCAGCATGCGTCTTAGTGACCGTGGGTGTGGTGTATTTGCAGTACGCCCCTGGGGGACCTCTTGATCATCCCTCGGCTCCAAGACATCGTGCTCTCAATACACTCTATTCGTCTCATGAGAGGGATGGACATGGTCAGGCTCCCTCTGACAATGCTCATGTGCAGCATGTAAAGTTTGTAACAGGTAGTGATGCCCAGCAACCAGGTGAGTGGCCACACCACCGAGAAGACCAGGACAATCAGGAAAACCACCAGCATGATGAGTGGAATCACCAGAATGAAAATGCAATCAATGAGGAAGCTGTACCCTCAGATCCTGCCCAAGCACAGCACCGTCTAGCAGTTGAAGTCCTCCAGCGGCGAGTTGCAGAACAAAGGGCACAAGAACAACAACAACAACAACAATCGGTAGCTGTGCCTGGTGCTGTCATGATACCTCAGCAAGACCCACCCCCAGGTGGTTCTTGGGGTGGAGGTCAATACCGTTACAATCCTTATGGCGAACCAGTGTATGGGCGCACGGATCGACCTAACTATATACCACCCCATCGTGTTGTGCATTTTGATTTGAAGGGTGCACCCCCAAAGATGTCTGCTATAATGCAGCTGCTCCCTTGGATAGCTGGACAAGGTGCCACAGCAGTCTTGCTGGAATATGAAGATATGTTTCCATGGCGGGGTCGTCTTTCACAAGTTTCTGCGAAAAACCATTATTCTCGAAAGCAGATTGCTAATTTGGTAGCAGCATGTCGCAGTCATGGTTTAGAAGTTATTCCTCTTGTTCAAACTTTTGGCCATTTGGAGTTTGCACTTAAGCATGAGCGCTTCTCACATTTACGTGAAGTCCCTGAACTTCCACAGGCTTTATGCCCATCACTGAATGAGTCAATGTGGTTGGTTCACTCCATGGTGGATCAGGTAATGGCACTTCATCCAGGTGTTCGTTATCTGCACATTGGCTGTGATGAGGTGTTTCAGATTGGGGAATGTGAAAAATGTCGCTTGGTATTGCGGGAGACATTGTTTCTACAACATGTTGAAGCAGTTGCAAAATATGTACGTAAGAAGTATGCTGCAATACCTCTGATTTGGGATGATATGTTGCGTCATGTTTCTGAATCTGCCATGCAAGAGGCTCATTTAGGTGAACTGGTAGAGCCTATGGTATGGGTGTATGCTGAAGATGTGTATAGGTTTGTTCAACCATCTGTGTGGACCAAATACAGTCAAGTGTTTTCTCGTGTATGGGCTGCTTCTGCATTTAAGGGGGCATTTGGTGAACAACTGACTGTGCCAAATGTCCGAAGACATTTGGATAACAACCTTAATTGGTTGGATGTTATGGCCAGTGAGGCAAGCAAATTTACAGCTGGGTTCCGAGGTATAGTTCTTACAGGATGGCAGCGATATGATCACTTTGCTGTTTTGTGCGAGTTATTACCAGCATCCCTCCCATCACTGTCAGTTAATCTAATCACAGTTTCTCATGGCTTCTTTAATGTTTCTGTTCAGGGACAATTATATCAGGCTCTTAACTGCATGCAGACACCAAAATACCAAACATGGCTCAATCTTGATGCTGATCCATTTCTTTGGGATAAATTTTCTTGGTGCTTCTTCCCAGGTGCCCAGGTATTCAAGGTGACTGCACGTCTTCATGCTACAAGACGTGATGTTGATTCTTATGTTGAGCGTGTAACAAAGAGCCGTGCATGGATCACTGATTACAACCGCCGCCACAATTTTTCATCCCCAATGAGAGTGGATGAAGACCTAGAAGAGCTACCAGCCCGACTTCATGCTGTAACACTTCTCATGAAAACAGCTCGTGAGGCCTTGGCTGAATGGTTTGATGACTGGACAGTGGGTGAGTGGCTGGAACAACATGTTTGGCCATTATTAAAAAGCCTACAAACTCTTCAGCGTGAAGCTGAGAGTATGAAAGCTGTTAGGTACTGGCCTGCTCGGCCCTTGCCACTTCTGCCAGAACTTCAAGCTTTTGGTGTTTCAGAACCAACAGTTGGCGATGGCAAGAGTGGACAAGATACAGATGGTGGTGGTGGCAAAGCATAACAAGTATGTTGGTATTTACCAGCATTGAATTGGCTTTGGGAGACCCCTTACCCTTCATACTGGAGGACTTGGGTCTTCCAGCACATGGTGAAAGACATGTGAGAGTTGTGAAATTTCAAGTATTTATTATAAATATTGATGAGATGTGTCTGTAAGTATTTTGTATAAAGACAAAGTTTATCAGAGTATTGAGAATGTGTGTCCATAGCCAAGTCATAATATACATTAGTAGGTTTGTTTGAAAAAAATATGTAACCTTGCTGCTAACCTCAGCATCTGAAGTAGGAGTCTTGATCCACAGGCATTCTTTTATACCTGTATTGTGTCATACAGGCATAGAAGACTAGTAATGGGGACATCCCTCAACAGGTATCTCAAGTGCTGTTGTTTGTGTTCTTTTGGAGGACTGCATTTTTAAGTCTTTCTTACAAGTAGGTCTTTGGGCAATATTTTTGTAGGCCTGATGAAACCTCAGTATGTAGTCATTTTTGGATTATGCATTTATTTTCCATCTTGACAAATTAAACTTCTTTGGCACAGTTTTCTTTCACAGTAGCATTATTGAGAGATCTAGACTCCTCGCTCATGTTGTTACGGTAGCAGCCACTTGAATACTATAATTGAGCAATATCTGGGGCGGATCCGGAATATGGATAGGACAGTGTATACAGCAAAGGTATCAAAATATTGTACCTTACACTGATATTATTAGTGAAGGGGTTAGGATCTAGTGTTATGGGATTAGGATAGTTGTGGTTTGCTTGTTACCCAAGATAAATGTGACACAAGTGTTGGGAAAGTTTATAACTTGTGGTACAATGCTTTGGTGTGATGCCTCTGGAAAGATGGTTATTGATGTGATTACTTACGTAAAGTCACAAGTAAATATTTTTAAGCTCGACTGAATTTCTCACTGAAAGGAGTGTTGCACAAAACTGTTTTGATTACACTGTGGTATTATGTATGAGAGTAAGTGAAAAATAAGTTATTCCAGGTATCACTTTCCTTTGTGTCTGTTGTCCTAACTTTTGGCCAACTTATTACCATGACCTTACTGTAATGATTGCAGTGTTTTCTTTGTCTTTCCTAGGGGAGTAACTTTTGACTGTGAAAACCTCTTTGTATTTCCTTCAGTGTATTGGTAAGCACCTAACCATTTAAATGTCTTAGTTGTATCAACATAAAATGTAAGGTCATTAGAAAAATATTGACTCATTTTTAGAGGCATTGATGGTAATTTTCTGTAATACAGGTATATTTTCTTTTAAAAAACAGTCAAGACACACGTTGGTCTTGGTGTTGGCAGTTCTCTCTGAAGGAAACTCTCGGGATCCGTCCCTGATGATGTAGCAGTTTGCTCAAACACGGCGGCAATCAACCTTGAGTATTGGACGAAATATGATCGTCGTAACAATCATTCCCCATATCTTCCTAAAAAACTTTTTTTTTTATCCCTTCATCATAGCAAAGATTTTTTTAAAGTTCAGTTATATTTTATTATCCAGTACTTTAAGACCTCATGTGAAACATCCTAGTTAACTGACATTTTTTGTGGGAATACAAACATTGCATTTTCAATGTGATTTTGTAAATACAGTATCTCACAGACTTGCATTTGAATAGCTTCCTATATCATGTATCATCATCATGCCCAACAAGTTAATAAATGGTATGTGCTTCTTAAATATGCTTTAATGACTGTCTGTTCATTTATGGAGAAAGTGTTGTGAAGACCACCATTACCAGTCTCACGTGACCTGTGTCATGTGAACTGCACTTTATGACGGACCTTTTATTACTTAACATGGAGGGAGAGTCCAACCCTCATTCTTTCTCTCTAGAAAAAATTAAATAGTAATAATTTTTCATATTATAAGGTTATAATACAGTTCTTTAATAGTATCCAAATTTCTTAAAAAAAAAAAAAATTGCACACTTAACTAACAGTACTGTATCTACCATGGAATGAGGTGATTTTGTTAGATTGACTCTTTGTCACAGTGTGGACTTTTGAGCAATAAGCTTTTTTGTTAACTAATGGAGAGTAATTAATATGTTAATTATGTACTGTAGGTTGTAATGTGTTCAGATGGATTATCAATTATTGATGTGCATTTACTCTTAAGTAATTTCAGTACTTGACAATGAAAGTAGAGCATCCTGCAGTTATTTATATAAAGTACAGTACTGTACACTATTTATTTACCATATAAACACATTATAAGAATTTGTGAATGCCTGTCATGTTGCCTGATGCATAAATGATGATAGAAAGGAAACTTAAAAGGTTTCCCTGATGTGGTATATATATAATCACTAAGATTATTTGAGTTACGTAATTATTTTTATAACGAGTATTTGTAATTGGAAGGACACCAGCTATTGTATGTACTTCTGTTATTCCATCAAAATAATTTTGTTGATTATTTTTTTGTAAATTTTTCTGTTATATTGTTTTATGCTACTGTTTGCCTTGATTTCTTCCTTGCCATCACTTGCCAAATTGTCTTCGTGTATGAGTCGACTTCCCATATCATAAATTTCTCCATTCCATCAACAGTTAACTTAATCCTTAGTTTCAGTTCTTGGATTAGTTGAGGATGATGCATTTGCTAAGGGGAAACATATATTTGCCTTAAGAAAGCCTCGAGCCGAATTGTAGACACCACCCCAATCATATACATCAATTTTTGCCATTATTCTTACAAAATTTATATTAATATATCAATAGTTGATGCCTGGATAGTAGGTTTATATGGCTGTAGCAAAATATAGGTTATAAATTTGATGGTTCCCTACTTTATATTGTCTTATGCATAGAATATTATGACCTTCAGAAGCCCTTATATAATTACTATATCTGCACTCGCTTAGTGAAGTAAATCTGGTTCAGAGGCGTATTGTATCATATATTTGTGAAGGTGCGCAGAGTTTGTTGGCACCAAGTGTCAGTGTGTGTAGAAGTGCATGTGTCACTGAACTACTGCAGAAATACAGTACAGTACATGATTTATTCAAAAGGATCTGAAATGAAATACTGTATTCAGTTTTCCTGATTTCAGATTTCACTACAACTGAACAACTTCTCAATATCCAAACAAACATAAGCTACAGAATATACAATACATAGAATTTTACATATTATTTTAAGTCTTCTATAGTCAATAATAAAGATAATGTTTAATGTGGTGAAGAAGTAGCAAAATTGTTTTACATACTACTTTGTTTTATAAATGAAACTTATTCTCTCATGGGTTGCTTTCAAAGAGACCTGGTGTTACTAAAACATTCATGTAGCTTATGAGAATGTACAAGGTCTCATTATGAAGGAGAATCCCTTGCTGATTTTTTGTATGCATTTGGTTGGTAAAATACATTTGGAATTTAGGCAAATCACTTTAGGTGTGTTAAAAATATATGAGCCTTTTTTGAGAAAGTTGAGGGTATCGACCTAACATAACAATGGTGTTTAAGTGTATATTCACTTAGTATGTAAGTAGAAAAATCTGGAAAAGCTTCACAGAGTATTCTTGCAAGAATACTCTTCTTGAACTAAAGCATCAAGTTTGAAAGTTATCAGTTCCTCTCTATCATTTGGAGATGTAGACAGACTCTGCTTTCAATAATTTTTATGGCAATTTAATTTCAATTTACCACTGCATACAGTCCTTGAGATCATACTTCAAAATCAGCTGGCTATGTTAGATAAGAAAATAAACATTACTTGGTTGTTACAGTTCTTATGGACTGTAAATTCCACTAAAATTGCAGGCTAAGTATGGCAAATAGCTGGACTAAGCAGTGTCTATTTCACTACTATGCCTCTCTTCACTATTCCAATTTGTTGCTGTGTGTAAATTATGGGAATAATGTTTGAAATGAAGACTGACAAAAAAGATGGTTGTCTTTCAAAATGACTGTATATGAACATGCAGCCATCAACTCAGAGAGCAAAGGAAACATTGCCCACCTGGTCCACTTATAGTAACCACAAAATCTCATGAAAATAGTTTATTATTTCTTACGAGCTTGTTTCAAAATTTTAAGCTAGGAAAGAAAACCGAACGAACAACCTCAAAACCTACTTACATATGCTGTCTCTTAGGTAATTATGTAAGCCAACATTTGTATTGATTTTGAGTTATACTAATGATTGACTTATGGCTGGTAATGTAAATATAATGATTAATGAAAGGTATTTATTTTAGTCAACTGTGTATTTGTATGCTTTCATGGTGGATAGTCTGATTTTAGGCATGGTGAAAATAATGTTTGTTTCATTTGCTGTGTAGATTTCTTTTCTTATTGATAACAAGCACATCAAAAAGAATATTTGCTTTGACATATTTAAAAAACAATTAATTATTTTAATACCATTGTCTTAAAGTAATGAACAAAAAATAATAATATAAAAAGTTGGTACACTATTTAGAATAAGAGAATATAAAATGGATATTGTAAGTTAAACCTCTACTCATTTACTACAACATAGGGAGAGAGATAAGAGAGAAATTCAGCATTTCTCAGTCCCGAGAGCAGCACTGTGCCCAGAATTGAATGTTTTAAGTGACTGTAGTGTAAGTGACCTGGCACTCAGTGAGTGATGGGTCAGAATCTTTTATTTTTGTATTATTTATATTTTCATATGTGGCATGGATGCTCCTCTTTACTGTATAGTTTTGTTTTGGGTCAAACATCTCCACCATGAGTTATGTCCTCAGTATTGTATGTACAGCCTTCCTCCTCCTCCTCCTCACTATGAATAAAGTATACAATATGAAACTTTACACATTCGTCTTTATCAAAACCTATGAAAGTTATAAGTGTAATTGACATAACTGCAACTTCATCATAAGGATATTTTCTCTCAGACAAGTGTTATAATGATACAATAAACCCCCAATATAACGGACTATTTGGGGAAAACGACTGTACATTAAAGCTGAAAATCCATTATATCCAGATCTGGAATAAAAAGAAACAACGTTAAATACCAACATAGTCCGAAGCGACTATGATCATTATACTGTACTTGAGGGGCGGTTCACTTGCACGTTTAAGCCCAAAGCATGGTTGGGGTCCACCCCAGGAGAAAAATATTATATAATAAGCTTCTACAGGTTGTACCTCGCTAGTCCGGCAACCTCGGGACCTGACCGGTGCCGGACCATGGAAATTCACCCTTTTCCTGGATAGATAGTGACTTGTGCTTATGCTTGGAAGCACTAGCACCACTTTCTCTGCATCATGGTCTCTTTGAAGACATATTGAAGGGTTAAATGTCATACAGTAGCTTCTCAAATTTTGCGAGTTTTTAATTCAACGTTTTTTATTTGAACACCAAAATTTAAAATTTTGACAGCGGAAACTCGAATTTCGACGTGTTTGAACGGCCCACCAATGTTCAGACGAAGTGCACAATCATGTAAACCGTGCCATTTCTCTTGTGTACAAAAGATTCATTATTGTTTATTACTGAATGTCTTTTTGATTGAATTAATGTTTGTGTGCAAAATGGGCAATACAATTCATTAATAATACGTAGAATATTAAAACACGAGGAAATGACACAGCATTGTTTTCGTTGATTACAAGACCAGTGACTGACTGGTTCTACATATAAAACTGAAGAAAATAAGACCCTGGTTGTCGCTGTAGTAAAATTAATATGGTTGTTTTAAGTAATGTTATTTAATGTTAATAAATGGAACAATAAAAGTAGCTATCGATAATGGAAAAGAAAAAAAGAGAGATCGCGTATGTAAGTGCGCACATGTGAAAATATATCGTCATTACTCTACAGTATATAAGAATATAAAAGCAACACTAATTTACCATTCATATATATTTTAATTAATGTTTCTGAATGTCTTTTTTATTTAATTAATGTTTGTGTGTGCAAAATGAACAATACAATTCATTTATGTAATGATTGATTGTCAGACCAAAGCTTACAGCCCAGAATTATGTCACATATAACAACAAGTACACTACAGACCTCGTGGTACCACCACATTCCGGGTTGACACACCTCAGGTCGACCCAAGGGACTTGACCTCGCCCGCTAATGACGTGAGCCGGTGACCTACAACCGCACCTAGCCAAGACACCTGGCCAGGACCACACCTGCACACACCACCAGATCAAACCAGTTTAGTGTTAATTGTTAGAGGTCAAAAGCCGGCTGGGCCGACCCCATATAAAGGCCCTGCAGTCCCGTCCACGGGCATTACCATTTCGATATTCCATTACGATTATCATTCTGGTTGCTGTCATCTCTCTCCCGTTCGGGTCGTCTCTCGGTTCACTAAGCAGAGTCACGCACGTCCCCTCCCCAGGTCGGGAGGGAGACCTCCCGACCAGACCACAGCATCACCAGCTAAGCAGATTCTCCCATAGGAGGCAGCCCAGCCAGCACCCACTGGGCCTACGTCAGGGTACACGTGAGTCTTGTCAGAACGTCCTAGGGTGAGTTACCTACTGTGGGAAGTGTATTCATTCAGGTGTGTCCGAGAGTCAGTGTCAAGTAACGTAAAGCATGATGTGTTAGTACCCCGATATAATAGTGATATTAATGTGTCCATGTCATTGAGGGAATTAATAAATAGTTGTATCGAAGAGGTGTTTAACAAGTTGTCCCTTTAAGAAGTGATATATGTGTATTGACATACGAGATAAGATAAGCGTAGTGACGCTGTGCAAATAACATCCAGGCCACGCTATCAAGTTTCCTACCTTTACATCACTACTCTCTATACTTCCTATATATATATATTCTTCCTCTCATTGTGTTTCGTCTCATTATATTTATAATACGTGGAATATTAACACGAGGAGACGAGACAGCTGCCGGCATTGTTTTCGTTAATGCTTACAAAACCAGTGACTGATTGGTTCTACATATAAAACTGAAGAAAATAAGACCCTAATTGTAGCTGTAGTAAAATTAATGTAAAAAAATTAATATGCTTGTTTGAAGTGGGGTTATGAGATATTGGTTCACACTCAGGATGGGATGGAGAAAGGAAACTCACAATGTGCTCACTGTATACATATTGTATTGGATGTACAATGCAGCTTGTTGTTGGGTAGGTAGCATGGTAATAAGCGTTGAGTAGAGAGAGCTGGGTGGTGAGGGTGCCCAGAGTGAGGGCACGCGGCTTGAGGGATGCCAAGGTCGCTGGCGGGAGCGGCAGCTGCTAGGCTGGCGCGGAGGAGGAGGTGTTGCTTGCTGGTGGCACTAAGTAGAAAAGAGGGTGGTCACAGCGGTGTCAGGCCTCATAAGGCGGGGGTAGATAGTTGACCCCCGCTCCGTGGGCGGCGCTGGAGGCGTAGGCTGGGGAATTCGAGAAGGTTTGGTGCTTGTAGGGGAGGAATCCACTACAAAGTAATGTTATTTAATGTAAAAATGGAACAATATTGTCATGATCGTGATAATGGCTAACCTGAAAACCTTAAGGATTCATATTACGCTCAAACGTCCACAAAACCTTCCGAGTCCCCCAGTGGAAACGTCCCCTGTTTTCTCTGTTTCCCCGTCTTTGTCTTAAGGGAACTTTGAATATAATCCGCGGATTTCGTAGCCGACGCTGTATGTTGGGACCTGTTGCCATCCAACCCTTTGTAATCAATTTAATTTTGCTTTTGATAGCTGAGTCAGAGCATTGTTAATGAGGATAATAGTAGGGAATGAAACTGAGTTCATAGTCTCAGTTTCAACGTCAGAGTGTACAGTAAATTAATTCATCGAAATAGAAGTACAGTAGGTGGACTCCCTGGCCTATTTTGAGTGAAGGTGCCGCGGGCATTTCTACCGTTAGTAAGTGCCCGTCCCTTCACCCATACAGGTATGCCATTCCACTGTGTTGTAATTCGCCCTTCTTTAAGTGATTTGACCCAATTAATAGTTGATTGTGCAAGTGTTACAGTAACGTAGTTGATATGCTCTGAGTGAAGTCATATTTACGTCTTTAACGTCCCCTGAAATGTGATGTTGTTGTCACTGTTAGTAAGTGCCCGTCCCTTCATCCATACAGGTCCCTAACGCAGCCTAGGCCGTGTCCGTAGAGTGGATGTTGTATCCACTATGTCTGGGGAGATGTCCGAGGTCCAGTAGGATCAGTTACCTTCGTGAGACCCGGCCATCAGACACTTCAGACTACCTATGGCCCCCATAGCTGGCTCGTCTGGCCCTAACGCTCGGCCTGCGAGGTGACCCCGGATCACCAAGCCACACACCACTACCAGCCCCCATCATTGGTGGATGAGTGTCTAACTCAGTAGGGCTATTTGTGTGGTGGAGTTAATCCACTGGGATCTTCAGAGTTCGTCGGAAAGTACCCCATGGTGGCTGGACCCCATGGCTGTTGCTTGAGTATCACTCCTGACGACTGAGTGTTGTAGTGGCAGTTGCCCTGGTCTTTATGGTGCTAAGTGACTGTAAGAGTTATGTGTTATTGAGTATGTCCACCCAGTAGGGTTGTGAGTGTTATTGAGTATGTCCACCCAGTAATGGTGTGAGTATGTTGAGCCTGAGGGCCTAGTACTAGATTTCGTCTGTTGGTTCATATAAATTCTTTCTCCTAATTTCATATTAATGTTTAAATAAATTTTGTATTTGTATATTGTGTCTATTATGTAACTACAGTATTTACCGTTATTTCTTCCCTATTACTTGTTACTATCATTACATCTACCCACGAGCCTCCTCTCGTCACGCTACCAATGGTAATAAGTATGAGAGTAAAAGGAATTGTTACTGACACACAGTCCCTTATAAAATGGTGGCAGCTCAGGTCCTCATAAATGGTGGCAGCTCAGGCCCTCATAAATGGTGGCAGCTCAGGCCCTCATAAATGGTGGCAGCACAGGCCCTCATAATATAAGTAGCAAGCCATTAACCCTTTGACCGCGCAAAGCGACTTTACTCCACGACCACGGGAAAATTCTGAATTTCCCGCGCGTGGCTAAGATCGTCCTGGGGTTAAAAATGCACCCTGTTTGTGCTGCCATCTGGTATCCGCTAGGCAAAACATATCCCAGGGCGCGTGGCAAGCGCAGCACGCGGCTCAGATCCATCATAATATGGGTATATAATGACAGTATATCTCTTCATAATTCACATAAAGAAGGTAATTTTTAATCTGTTATTATGGTGATAGGCAGTGTAAGTGTTTCAAGCATGAGAATATATAAAAAAGACTGATATAGATAAGCAAATAGTGGTGGTTATATCTCATAATATGATCGCTGTTTTTCCGTCTGTTTGCCTGTATAAAGATTTGCTATAATATTGTTTCTGCATAACCCAGGCATTTTTGGCATAGTCCGGTGTCAAAATATGAATAAAGACCGTGTTATATATATTTGAGAATAGTTATTTTATAATGAAATAGCCAGTATATAGACAAAAATTGCGATGTTTGTGATAAGAAAAATTTGCGCTGTTTGTCAGTCACTTTCCATTATCATTTACCGCTGTTTCAGCATAACCCAGGCATTTTTGGTATAGTCCAGTGTTAAAATATGAATAAAGACTGTGTATATAGACAAAAATTGCGAAATAAGACAACTTTTCACTGTTCTTATCGCTTCCCATTTTCTGTGATATGCGAAATAAATTAATATTTTGCAGTAACTTTCAGTAGTACCCAATTTTACACGGTCAATTGAACCCACAGGGTACTTTCGCGAGGAAAAGTGAAAACGTAATGTGAACAACAGAGCATATAGGATTAATTCAATAGAGACTGGCCGACCCCCAAACTCCACTTTCCGACACAATAAC